CCCGACGCCCTATCTACAGCACTGCCCCAACGTAAACATATCAAAGACAATCGGTCACTTGACCTATAGGTGGGTTTCCGAGACATATAATTTTGCTGCAGGTGGAAACCGAAGAAAAATTGTGAAAAAAAACCGTTCTGTCAGCTGGTGTTCGAAAAACGTTAATCGTAAAACCGAACAAACGTATATAATATATCATATAAATATATAATGTATATAGGCAACTCCAACCACCCTCTACCTGCGTCTTAACATACTCCTATGTATATACATAATATACAGTATATTATACACGTATTATACTTCGGCGAGTATTGTACACATTGTGGCGATAGCATACGCCGAGCACGTTCTTATAGACGATATTTCTCGCCTAAACCCGATGCACACAAACACCACCTGCCCCCTTTGTGTGCGCAAACACTGCAGTACCTATCTATGCCTTGTCCGTAATACCTGCTCGCTGCTCCCTCTTATCCGGCCGGAAACGGCACGCACTCACCGAAAACGCCAACCAGAGTTTACGTTTACTGGAAACCGAAGGAAAACCAACCGATTTATCAGGTGAAAAATGGTCAGTGTTGGTCGGTCTACCGCGGTGATAGTAACGTCTAGTTACGACGAGACGAGTCATGCAGCCTATATTGTGTAGAACCTAAATAACGATTGCTGAGAACAAAAACGCGTATTGTCTGTATATATATATATTATATGTACCATCGACTGACGCCGAACTACGCGAGGCTATAGATTTATATTATTTTTTATCGTCTATTTAAGACAACGCTGTCAGCCTGTATACAATATCTAATACCATTATTATTATTATTATTATTGTATACCGTCCAAATAGCTACCATTTAGAGGATTATATTTCACATTTTTATTATACCGTTACCGTAACCCAGAAACTATACTTGGTGAAATAAATAATCAAAAAAGAAAAATCTTTTAGCCATTATAAAATAAATTATTCTTGACCGTCTTAACTTATTGTCAACGTTAATTCGCTTTGTTTTGTCGCGGAGGCTTGCACGCAAACACAACATTAACGAATGACCACGGTTAAAATACAACGACGAACGAGAATTATTGTAGGGATTACAACATTTAAAGATGCATGTGATAAATGCTCAAAAGTTGACTGTATAGGTAGTAGGTACACAATTCGCTTAAACTACAAACGGGACTCGAGCTATAATGTTATATCAAATAAAAAACAATAATAATAATTAGTTATGGGCACTTGGAGTATGCAACTGAAAATGTAACTGAAACAATACGTTTTATTTTAACTTTTTTGTCTTAATTTGTCGTTTACGAAAATATTGTTCGCCAAGTACGAAATACTTTATACACGTTCTATAATATACTGAAGTCGAAGTTTAATCCGAATAGTACCTACATAATTCTGCATATTATATTAATGTGTGAAATGTGAAGCCATAATTTTATAAAAATATGTCAACAGCGCCGTGTAGTACTAAGAGGAAAACACAACCAGATAAATATTTCTATAATATTATTCACCGGGCGATTACAATGTACGCGGGATTCGTAAAATGTTCGGTTTCGTTTAATTTAGGTTTACGTATTAAATATAATATGTTACAGTATAATAATACGCATTCAATTATGGTTTATTTGGTGTGCGGCTATTAAAAAATGGTGGAAAATTCTGGTACACAAGTTTAGGCGTCGCCGAGCCGTCACAGTGAACGTGCATAAAAATGATTTCGAATATTATTGCGTTCATATCATATCATTATGTGTACGGCGCCTAATATATTATATTATGATATATCTACACATAATATAATATGTTGCTAGATCCTACAACTCTGATAACTAAATTATATATTATTCGAGATGGAAAAATGAAACAAATTGTTTCCATATTGCACGCGATATAGAAACAGTCAACGGACTAGGAGTAGTACAACAACTGTAGTAGTAGTAATAAAACATCGCTCTCTAAATTACGCTCTAAGTTACGAACCGTATGCGCTGTACATAATCGTTTCGTTTCGCTACGAGTACGACGTCTCACGTGACAGCTTACAGTAGGTATATTAACGCGGGGGGCGGCGGTCGAAGTGCAATAGAAACGTTTCTGCAGACTTCTTCTGTCTGTCTGACGACCGGTGTTGTTGACGCGTACGAAGACGGTGCGGAGTAAAATAACGTAATATAGATATCATGTAAGCACACATTCGGTCAGTCATCGGTGTTAAAATATCAAGAGGAGTACTTCCAGTACTTGTGTGGCGGTCGGGGTTTTAATTATGTTAAAACGACCGGTCGGTCGGGTCGGCCATATAAAATTAACGCGAGCACATACATATTTTAATACGACCGAGTGAAAAACTAGTAACTACAACTTACTGTCGTCTGCCGATCGCCGATCGTGATAATAACCACGTGGGACGGACAAATGATAATTGCAGTTTCGAGTTACCTCTCTTCAAGATACTCCTCTCTGCAGTGATATATATAAGAATTAAAAAATTACGACGAATAAAGTTATGGTATGGAAAAAAAATGTTATGATAATAATATTATAATATAATTATTATTATGTATAATGTACTCGCGTGCGCGCGGCGGTCGTTTGTAGCGAGGTTTTACATAATGTGGATCCGACACGAGCGTTATGATATATTATTAACTGTGTGTGTGTGTGTGTGTGTGTGTGGACGAATAATACATATGCTCTTCCGAGTGTGTTCACTAAACATTAAAACCATCCACACAAACCGTGCTAACACTCGAACGGTCCCCGGCAGGCAATAAAAATGAGTCTCAAAATATAATATGAAGTGGTTATATTTTTTATTTTTGAAAATAAAATTGAAATTAGATGAACGCAATGCCGAGGTCAAGGACCTACGGGAACCAACAAAAAACGTTTAACTCAGAAATATAATATTATACTAAAGAACGAGTCATTTTTTCTATATAATATATTATTATTTAATATTTATTATAATATTACGATTGTTGTATTTAATATTTAAACTGGCTACATCACTACAATATAGTAGAAAATGACTAGTCTTTAAAGACTATATGTATAGATGTATTTACATTTTAAAGAGCCGTTCGAACAAATTCACATAATACCATTCAAAATAACATTATTTACTCGAACGTCTTAAAAAACAAACAATTTTTTTTAGGAAGTTATTTAAAATTAGACTCGATTTCGAATATAATAGCACTTTTTGGAGTAAACATGGAGAAAAACATTAGTCATTACTGAATGTTTACAAATACACTTCTTTTAATACACACGTTCTACTAAAACAGTACAAAAAGTTGACTACCCGATACGCTTTTTAAGCACACCGTGATTTAACTTATCGCAAGTCGCAACGATCCCTATCGAAGACATAAACGAAAATAAACTAAATTGTGTTTGTAAAAACTGAACATCAAACTCGTGCATGTTTCTCCCGTAGGTAAATAATTATAAATTGCATTCGTTCTCGTTTGAGTTTGCGCAACACGTTATCAAAAAACGCGATCGGTGCACACACGCGGGTGTGAGGTCATCAACTTCTATACATTTGCAGAGCAAGTTTGACCTGTGACGACGAGGTCTATTATCAACAAGACAATACTAAAATACATAATACATAAATGTATTATAATTTATATAATAAAACTTACAACAGTATTATATTATTATTGTCCATAATTTGAGCTTGGAATATAATATAATGATATAAATAATAATATAACTGTATTGTTATATTATATAACCTGTTCCCCTAACGGTCTACAATAATATGTACATAATATAGGTAAATAGGTGATATACTTCGTCGTGAGTGTTCGAGCGGTGAATTATAATGATAATATTAATATATAGTTATTTATATATAGTTCGGACAGCGCAGGTGCGCACATAAGTCACAGTCACGTAAAAGGTAAAACATCACGTCATTAGATCGGAAACAAATTTTAGAGCTGGCAAAGTTAATCTGTAACGGCGAGGCGCGGGAGAGCTCATAAATCATTCCTGCATCCAATATTGTACGATGGCGAAATGAAATTTTAACGCGGTAATCGACTCTGTGGAGTGGGGTTACGTGAAGGATTCCGATATTTATATGATATTACGTAGGTACACATTACATGCGTCATGCCGTCATGCATATTATGATATATTATGAATGCCGGCGAAGAAAAAATTGTATCACTTGTAAGTTGTGAGTTTAGTCACATCGATTGCTCGTCCACCGCATCATCGTATAAATATTATATTATATCGAAAACGTTTTGGCAAACTCACGATAAAAAAATATTAAATTGAATGCTTGGCGTGATTGTTATTAATTTAGCCACAAAAAATGGATTTCTCGGGAAATACGCCGTTTACGGTAAACAGAGAGACACTGTCTTCGGAAAAACGCATGTTCAAATTTATGAGGTCGCAGAACAATATTATACTGTCTGGGGCATACGAAAAGCACGTAAAAAAACAATTACCTTGGACTAAATCGAACGAGACATCTATAGAAGAAGGTACCACTACCATTATACGTTATTATTATGAATTACAAATAATTAATCTAAATTGTAAATATATACACACCACGCACACTGACTACCCGCAGCGGTCGTGTCCTAATTTATTCCGTGCACCACCGATGTGGTAAGCGTTTTTACTTTAAAAATCATTATTATTTTGTTTCTCTGCAACTACAACTTAACTAACGTTTATGTTGATGTTCGGAATTTGATTCGATCTTATTCGAATCGATTCGATTTAGGTCTTCAATATACATTTATTCATAATATTATATATTTTCTAATCCAACTCTTAAATTTACTTTTATTTGGAAATAATGATTATATTATGTATAGGCATAAAAAAAGATAGAACGAGAAATTTTAATAAAAAATTATAACAAAATAATGTTACTCCAATAATATTAAAATAGTTAACGCAAAAACATAATAAATGCGCTCAATTTGATAAGTGCAACACTCACCCTTCCCATGTAGTATCTGCGATAAGCTTTTGCCGTGTCATCGGTTTCGATTTTATTATTCCACGTACAGGCTCCACCGGAAGAAGCAGCAGGCTCGTACTCGTTTTGGTCCTGGCCATCAATCCAGAAACCACCACCGGTCGGTAGAACGATGTTGGGATATGGTTTGGGACCCTTCAACGTCTCCTCTAAAAGTTCCCGGGATCCATTTCCTACCGCTTCCGGCGTCGGGACACTACTCGTCCGATCGTCTCTAGATGTCTGTAAACAGTTTCACAGTAATTATTATTATGATTAAAATTTTAAACAGGTATTATATATACGTAATAATTGCGAGTATAATTTACATAAAAACAGTAATATACATTATTATATCATAATGTTATATTTTAGAGTTCATCGGCATAATATTAATTAATCGTTATAATTATGTTATATTATAACTTATAAGTATATTAGAAGGACGCTTACACTATAATAATAAGATGTCCGATACTGTAAATAATAATATAAAAAAACCTTGAAACGTGCGTTGTATACATAATAATATTAAATTATAACCTAAAATTAACCATCCAACTATGTAACTATGTTCAAAATTGAATTAACTGTAAAACAAATGATTAGTATTAAGTATATACCAACAATTCGAATTGGCCATTGCCCGTTTCAAATGACTGTAGTATGCAGTATATATTTGTATTTTACACAATAGTTATATACTTATATATACACAATACTCAAACACCCGCTGTCCTTGTGTGAAGTTGGTTTCCATTAAGCATTGAAATGGAAATTCACGATAATTAACACTATTTTTTTTACTCATTACACCCTAATTTATCTCCAGTAGTTTTTTATTGTTTATTACAAGATTAGTTGTTTTTCTTTGGTTCTCGTTAATTTAGTTAGATTTTATTTTCATTTTTGAACATCTGACTTCAAAAATTCCAAACAATGAGGTTGTTAACTTTAAATTCTCCACGAAACTATTTGATTTGTATCTAACGTTTAAATAGAGTGCATACCTACAATAATATTATAATTTTAACGTCAGTTTAAAAACGTACTATGGGAACAAAGATAATATTTTAAAAACACAACAGACCCCTACCTGGTTACTAGACCGTGAGCTTGATTTCCTGTGCCGCACAGGAAATCCAGGTACTTTGGTCAGATAAAAAACTAAAAAGGTAAGCTAGTTAATGGTAATGCAGTTGTTAGCAATTTCCATTTGTTATTCACTTTTTATTAGTGCCCCGAAGGATAACTTTTATTTTGTCCCTTTTTCTGCAGTAATTCATATTTAAAATGAAATGTTTCTACAAGGCAACCATGTATAGGTATTATATTCCAAATTATTACTTACATTTTTAACAAATCATTTCATCGCCATGAATATTTATTATTTAACAATTAATTAAAATTTAACTCGAAGATTTTAAATAATCTGTGTGCGTAAAAAGTATACACACCGATTTATCGGAAGATATTACACAAGATGAACTTTATTTACTTTATTAATAACAGTAATATGATACATACAGTATACATATATTTCAATGAGAATAATTATTTTCTGTGGGAGTGTACACTGTATCTAAGTGAAATGTTTGAATTATTAATATACGGATTATATACCTATATAATAATTGGGAACACGAATAAAATGATAAAAACAAAAAAATTAACACAAATAAATTGTTTGGCTTGTTTATACTTAATTTATAATATACCAAGCATAATTATACGTCCGGCATATATTTAAACGACATAAAAATATGTTGGTAAATACAGTAATAATTGTTAGTTAAAAATGTTCCCTATGAGCCATATTAAGTACGAATAACATAATATTATTAAAGTGATTAATGAACATAGGTATGAAAAACGAAAATATTCCTACTCTACACAAGTATTATACGTTTAAACAATATTGTTTCAACTCAAAATATTTCACTTACCCGTCGTACCCTATATGACGAAGGTAGTAAAACAAGTAGGTATGCAGTTCCCATATTGTGTTACTTGGTACACGTGAAATATTGCCTTAATACAATTTATGCGTATGCAGTAGTATTTTGGTCAGACATTTTACGCATATTACAGGACCACAGGGTGTTTTTCCTAGGTTAGGGAGGAAAACATATATTACCCACACAAAGTACCCATGTCACGGACTTCACGTGTGTATATCTATCGTAACTGATATATTATTTTTCCGCGATGGAAACTGTCAGATATTTATGTACATTTGGGTACGATTGAAAAATATGCTCCTCCTTATCGGAATTACCGTATCGCTTTTTCACTATACGAGTGCATAGAGTTTACCTGTTCGTGCAACATTTTGGTAAGCCGACACTAATCAATTATTATGATAGCGGTGGCCACAGAAAAGTTTACCGATTATAAAAATATAAAAATAATATATTGTTTTGAAAAAAAACTATTTTTGCCACAAACCTAAAGATAACAAATTACATAATATTTAATTCCTATTAATACTTATAGATATTTATTAAGTTCTAAATGTATACTATTACTTCATGTGGGTACCTAATTTATTTAATGAACATTGAACAGTTATCGTCATATAACTTATAAGTATATTTTGTATTGTGTTATTATTTTACCCCATTAGGGTACATTGTACGTAACTAACTTCGATTTAGGTTGAAGTTATTTCAATGGTTAAAAAGTTAATAATTAGGTACTTGTTATAAATAACACAAGGCATGCCGCTTACAAAGTATTGTTGATGTATTGATTAAATTCAGACGAATTGTATTATTTATAAAAAATAAAGATTATAATATTATAGCGTATTATAGTTACTCGTTTAAAAAAAAAGTATTTTAGGATAAATCGCAACATCGCCGGCAGTCGCAGTCGGTTTTCATACTCAAAAGTACGCAATTTGTGTGTGAAAAATTGTATTTATTTTCCTACCGAGTATCTACCTAACCGACAAACGTCTAGGTAAGTATTATTATAATAATTTAATAGAAAATCATCCTTATACCGGTTTACAGCGGCAGTGTCTCTCGTAACGGACTCGTGGGCGACGTGCGTTTACCGGTGTAGCGCAAAACTAGTCTTTTACAATTATTTAAATGTCCCTTCTTTAGAGAAGACCGCGAGATGCGGTGGCGGGGAGGGGCAGTCGACCCCGGTGTCGCAGATGAGTGTACGGTGGCGGGTGGACGAGAAGAAATGAACGCGTATCATAACGACGTTGAATTATTCATGGGCACGTAATCGTCACCAGAGAAAGAGCGGTACGTTCGTCGCTCTGAATATAATATAATATATGTGTATAACAGTTCGCCAATATATATTTTTTATACCACTGCTACAGTTCCGAGAGAGCACTAGCCCACTAAATGATTGTGTAACAGTTTTATAGTACGTTGAACGCACGAAAAAAAAATGGAAAAAAGAAAAACCTCATACCTACATTATAATATTATACTGCACAATATGGAAAGATAGGGGGTGGGTGGTGGCGAAAGAACGGTGGATTTTAATAAGAAGACATCTGGAAAGCGATGCCGGGGGATTGTGTGTATGATTTATGATGAAGCTCGGATAAACGAAATTGTTCCTATATCTGTATACTAAAAGAAATATATGAAAAAAGAACTTGGTAAGAATCTCATCATCGTGCTACAACTGCACTGTAAATATTTCTTATTCTTATGTGTAATGAGAAAAGTTTTCTTTTTATCCATTACCGATTGTCCGCCTCACTACGGAACATAATTTATAATGAATTTGTGCCTAAATGATTTTTTCAAATAACAAAGGTTATTTCCATTTAAAATAATAAAGTACCAAATCGAATCAACAATATTTTTTGTACGAACCATTGTAATTCCTTAGTTGAGCTAATATGTACCTCGGTGTTTATTACTTATTAGAACAAAACATAAAACTATTTTATGAAAACCAACACGTTCAATAATCCAATTAAATTCAAAAACAACATAAATTAACTGCTACAGGGTTCGGATGCTTATACCAAGTGGTTCACTCTTGGATGGAACAGAGTATAGTATCAGATTTCCCGATATCATAACGTATTATATTATTTAAACATTCAACGCTGAATATAGAACCTAATATTATGTTTATTTGGTTTTATATGTGATTCTAGTAATTTTTAAAACTTTCTCTAATGATATACTGGATTAGACCAGCAATATAATTAGTTATTATTAGGTATCTACCACCTACTTCGTAAATCAAAACAAAATATCGTTATATTTTATCTCAATCAGTCAATTACACTAGTCGTTCCGAGTGTTGGCAGTAATAATAATAATTATAGAATATGGACTTTTGCTGTTGAACAGAAAATAGATAATAATATTAAGCCAGTATTCGGAACTCGGCGACGGCTACCGGGAAATTGATAAAAGCATAATTAGAGATAATTGTATGTGCTACATAAATTGGATAATATATCTATGGCTCCGGTTACAACAGGAAATTAAATTGATTTTCACCATTGTTATTGTTGTTATTTACATTTCTTCGATAGCGTCTAACGTGATTCTATATCAATAGATTATAATATTAGTATTATAATATAATATTATTATGGACAAAGTGCCACAAACTATGGGAGTACTGAAACTCGTGTATGCTGTCTGCATGGTATAAATACCATTTTTGACTTATAACGACAAAATATGTAGTAAATATTGTAATATATTATGAATTTACGCGACACACTGCAATGTCTGTAGGGGGTTACCCACGCGCTAAATAAAATGAGCAACTCTTTCAACAACGGCTGTTTGGTAGATTAAATTTATCTCTCGGATACCTAACTTTCCGTATAAAATATAAAATTCGGCTGTACGTTAAAAATAACGCTACAAAAGGAATATTAGTCCCTTGAGTCCCAGTAGTTACTGCACACAACTGATATTTCATTTTAATCCTCGTCTTTTGTACCTGTGCTTTTTCTATTTACTGTCCATGCGGTATTATTAAAGGGGAATAGGGATTAGGGACGCATGTAAGTTTGAACATAACGAATAGCTCCCAATCACGGACCTACGACCTACCTATATCAATATCTAGCTAGTTTTCATTTTGGAATCATAAAAAATCTTTTTTTTCTTTATTTAATATACATAATCTGCAGGTAAAATAAGGGTTGGTCGGTTGGTGCTTATTGAACACGCATTTCTCGACAAAAGAAGACACTGGTGACACTTCCTAGTTCCTATTTGTAATTTGTTCGTATTTTGTATATTTTTATTTATTTAACTTAAAAAGTCTCTATATTATTATATAATAATACCTATGTAAAACCAAAATGTTGTTGAAATTATGGAAACCAATGAAAACACCTGACGATTAGGTATACCAAATACCTACATCGTATAATATTAAAGGTATGCAGAGGTATAGCGTATAGGTTATACCTATACTCACGAGAGTTCGAGACACGACATTTGGCCGGATGTATTTGAAGTACAACCGTCTCGGATGTCCTGATAACTCGTGCGCGCCAAGTTCTCTCGTCAACTGTCAAGTCGTGAAAAAATAATTAGTATGACACTCGATACGTCTTGCAGCCGTAAAACGTTGACCGTCAAAATAAACAGTTTCCTTAGGTCGATAATGGAATTTCGCTTAATTAGGTACTACATTACTACAAACAGCAGGTGTTGGCCTCGTGCTCGTCGATGAGCCATAACGCACAATATACCGAACCAACCCTCTCCACCACCCCTACGAGATACGAGCGTCGGATTTCAACCCGTACTGTACAAACAACTGGTCTGTTTTTTTTGATTGGCCTAAATATGCATGAAACGCGACCGATCTACATTACAATATTATATTTATATCCACCGATGACATGCAACGAATACTTAGACATGAGCAAATATGTAAAATATACTTTGGAGTTAGAGAAGGGGGGAGGGAGGTGTTAATAGTTTTGTAAATATTTATGTTTTTGAGGATCCACGGACTGTGATTACTAGCTGCGGCGAACTGCTGGTGCATTACTATATATGTAGTATTATACCGTAGCACAGCGAGCATATTATATTTTATTGTATTTATTTTGTTGCTGTCGGTTATGGCGAAATCTGACAATGCACAATACGCGTTGTATATGTATATTAAACGAACCTTTCACGCCGATGTATACCCTGCTACAGTTATAGTAGTTTGCCACTTCATCGGCTTTCTCCGAAATCCCAATACTAATGATAATTTTTTATTATCATTATTATTTATTTTTTAAATATATCGTTTCTCTTCTCGGTTCTCGCTACTGCCTCTATACGGCCTTATAACATTTATATACCTGTATATAATGTTTACGTTTTATATTATTGTACTAGATCAATTGTAGAGACTATAGCGAGTTGTTTGTCGTTCTAGTTCGCTGGTTACCTACCGACACCATCACATCGCCATAACAGCGAACATCAGCTTCTGTGCGAGATACGACTACAACGACAATGGTGAGAATCGAAACGTGAGAAACGCGAGCGTCAGCGCAGCTGGGAAACGTCGACCGGATACACATTACCCCACTGCGCTAGCTACGCATATAATATTAATACATAATAGGGGTAGATAGGAAATAGTATTTCTATATTTTATACGTATAAATGTATAGCACACATATAATAATATATAATATATATTATGTGTAGTAGTTATAATATACTTCATGGTTCTAAGTTTTTGATTCCAACACTTTATGTGAATAAATCACAATACGAAGTTTAACAATACGATTGTACTTGTGCACTCTCGATACCGGAAACTGCAATGGGTATATTATAATATAAAGGTAACCATAACGCAGAATAAAAAAATGCACATTTTGCAACACCTCAAGCTTTTAAATCGCAACGGCTGGTTGGAGCACCGCGATTTCAATTTACGAAATTATTATTCAAGTGATACACTGTTTATTCATCAGACTTCGAATCCGGGTCGAGCGTTTGATAAATAAATAAATAAACTATGTAGGTAGGTTGGTGGTATATTATACACATAATTTATGTGTTTCCCTGTCGGCTGTTAGTACAGTCGGTGTATAGCCGTATAGGTGTCTATGCTATATACTACCTATAAATCTATACTATTGTACAGTAATGTTTGATTAAACTCGTCACGAATGTTGTAGGTGTACGTTGTGCGACGCAATGTGACAACAAACGAAAAATGTGAGGCAAGTCACGGTGTGACATTATATCGTGTTATTAATATTATTATTATTATTATTATTATATCATGTGTCTGCCGCTGCAGCTGCGGCAGAGATTTTGATTGGAAATAACGAGGGAAATATTAACTACCTACACAGAAAACATTAAGTCGTGTCAAAACTCAAAATATATATTTTTATATTACGTAATTATTGTGAACTTTGAAGTTATCGGAATAGGTCTTCGATCAATAGTTTATTAGTTTCATACTAAATCGAGGAGAGCTGGTTCGATTTTTGGCATTCCACATTTTTGCTGATAGTGTTTGGGGACGCCGGACGCCGGACGCAAATACGCAATTACATCGAATAAGATTAATCGCGCTACATTATACATTTTCATCTGAATTCCAAATCATACGTCACGTAGGTATACATATCGAATATTGAATGACAGCTACATATATTAATAATGTATAATATAAGTTATAACGCATAATTTGGACGATTTTGGTGGGTTATCACTAATCACCAGATCACCTATATAAAAAGGCCGCACGAGCACTACTGACATTTTACTCACACACGCACTCAATAATTAACGCGTTGAACCATATTGTAAATTATTATTAGGTATTTTTATCTGGTAGGCATAATGACACGACTTATGAGGCATGGAATCACTGAAGATATAACAATATATTATATTTTCTAGGTACCTGGAGTCCTTTGACATTATCCGAACTCTGACTGTGCCGACTGCCGTGTCTCTCCCGCCACTTTAACACACCCATGACCGAATGAATCCAACCCGGAGAGGATTCGCGGACGTCCACGCAGGACGTTTGCCGTGCCGTTTTCAGCGCCGTCGTGCGTCCGTCGACCACAACAATATTGAACGAGACCGAATGACGATGATTAATCAAATCGAATAAAATAAATAAAACACACGACGCCACAATAACCGTGTAAAATAACGATCCGTATGATATTATTGTACCGCACTCGGGGGACGTTTGTAATTTAATAAATCTGCGATCGGCAGCAAAACAAAAAATTCTACGGCGTCGGACGATCGGCGAACGGCCACAAGCACGACATGTCCGGACGAGTACGTGCGCGCACGAAGGACACCGGTCGGGTAACTAGACCAGCCGGCACGAACAACCCGGCACCCGCCGTCGCCGCCGCCGCCGCCGCCGACGCTGCTGCGCGTCCCCACCACGGCGGGTCGAAGGCGATAAAAAAGCGACTGGTCGCGACGGACGGGTTCGCACTACACGCTGCAGGTACGACGACCAGGTGACGTATACCCCCCTCCTCCCACCACCGTTTGACATAGTTGAGCGCCGGATGCGTGGGCGACCAAAGCCGTTCTCAGCCGCGACACGCTGCACTAGCGATTGACACACAAAATAATAATATCATACTTAACGTGTTACGTCCACAATGTTGCGCTCTGTTTTAATAATATGATAATAATATTATACTGTTATTTATAATAATATATGTTGTTATAACTCCCTACCACCGCGCTCAGTCGCGAACGTGTACCAAAACGAAATGATAATAATTAATAACGATAATAAACCGTTCAAAGAAATCTTGCCACAGTTGAAAGTGGTTGGTTTGACGAAACTGCCATTGCTACCACGGTATACACGCTCGTGTCACGACAAGTTAACGACTATAATATATTTTTATTCGCTCGCGCGTACTATGTGTACGTATTACTTTAGTACAGCTATGTGCGATACAAGTCGTGTTTGTATTCGATTGCTGCGCCCACAAGGCGTAATACAACCCTACGGCGGTTATATAGGTTAGATGGCTATAATAGGTGATTTACCATTATACAATATATATATATATATTATCTCGTGTTATATACTTATATAGGTCACGACTCACGACGATATCGGATATAATATGTTTTGTATCACGGTGCAAAATATTGTAATCTGTTGCCACGACTTTTATAGAGTATGTATAATTTGGAATCCCTATTAATACAAACTTATATATTAATAGTATACATAATATACGTTTCACACTGAAGAGATGACGTATTGATCGAGTTCAAGAAAATATTATTTCAACTGACTTTTAATAAACACATATACCTATATAATATAGAAGTAATACATTATAGTACGCGTATATTGTATATAGCATGTATACGCGTGACTTGAAATAGATTATTAACGTGCATGCGCAACGGTGTGGCCTGAGGAAGAAAAATGAAATTGCAGTATATTTCCTTATTTTTTAATAAAAAAATTAAATTAAAAAATAAATAAAATAATGAACCTATTACCTAAAATTTCAAAACTCCAAAACTTAAATTTACATGCTTATAATAAATTTATCTACCAAATTAATTTAGATTCTCATCGGTTTTAAGATTTAACATACCATATTATATACGGTATAAATAATATTCTATACATTTTGATGAAATTGTTTGTTTTAATAATTTTTTTTATCATCAAAACGGTTGTATTACAAATTAACTGGGGTGGAGTAACATATACACAGTGTACAACAGGTATAGGCGTATAGCGGTACAGGTTTAAAAAATGAATATAATTAACTTAAAATCAAAAACATATATTATATGACAAATATAAATTCAACTTGTTTACATTAGGTGGTTTGGATGTATGCGGGTACATGCGGTACATTCAGCGCGTACGTATTATATAATGCTTGTATAATAAATTAATATTTTTAATTTTTTAATAATTTTAGTGTCTATAGGTACTACGTCATAATATAACTTATACGTGGTAGTTAATACATTATATTCAAGTGGAAAAAATACTTTAATCATTTGCTTATTGTTAGTAATTATAGATCTTTATAAATCGTATACCTATAAAAAATAATAATTATAGCGAAAAATATATGGGTACCTACGAGTTCAAGAAATAGGTAGTATAATACATATTATATGCGTATAGTGTACCTATAGAATACACAACGTGAGTCTTGACCGCGTCGCACATTTATCCGTACTTTATCCGAAATGAAAGAGTTAACAGTATACCTAATATTATAATAGTCGCTATATATTGTTACAATAGATCCTGCTGGCAGACGGCCAGATTTTTGCTTTTGGTTTTATTCCATGACCATTTTTTTTTTCGCGGGACAGTCACCACCGAGGGGTTTACGTGCACAAATCGCAGCTGCGGTGTACATTTTTTTTTGCAGTTTAATCTCGCAAGACCCACGGGGGGAGGGTTGACGGGATCGAACCGCACACTTCAGCAACATTGTAATGTTTATAATATACATATAATATTGCTAAACGACGTACGTCCGACGACGTATTATAAACGATATTGTCACGCGATGAATATATGTAGGTACGTCATATTATTATAATAATATACGCTCGGCGGTTCGAATGTTTAATAATAGTAATCGATAAGCGCTGGACAGTCGTGGTTATGGCTTGGCGTATAATATGACTTTTAGGGATGACGGTCATAATGATATTATAAACGTTTACGATGAAATACAATTATTATCATATCCTCTGATGTGTGTACATAAGCTTATATCATACTCTATTCATATAATATATATTTTATAATGTACTGATAGTACTGACCTACAACGTATTATGTCCAACGTTGCCTAGTGCCTACCTATGCCACTAGTGAAAACGCTCAATATATTATAGTATACAGGATGATCCATTCAACCTGCCACATACACTTCCTCGCGGGTCAAATTTGTGAATTTGAGAAAAATTTTTTTAAATAATAATTAGAATTTGTATTTATTATAGGTATAGTCGTTACTTCGTTTATAACCATCGAAATCTTCATACAAATATCGTGCTTCAAATTATGAAATTAAATACAGCAGGTAATCTGTCATCGTTGCCTTCCATTTCCAAAAACCATTTTAAACCAAATAAGTCATGATATCAATTAAAATAGTTTTAGATTCTGAGCGGAGCGATGAATGTATTGGTTTTACAATGATGTATGTTTTTATATTTTTATATTTTTATATTTTTTTTTGTGTCTGTCATCACGTTTTGGGACAGTAAAAGTGCTTCGATTTTCTTCAATAGTACCTTTTATGATAGGAAAGTGAATCTAGTTGGTACTTTGGGGGGTCAAAAGTAAACATTTTCCAGTAGTTTTCACAAGCGCCGGGAAAAACAACATAAAAATTAAGGAAAAACGGGAATTTTTACGCAAAATCGATTTTCCAAAAAATCGAATTTGGTTTTTGGTGTAACTTTAAAACAAATGACCGTAAATACATGAAATTTTCACTGGTTGTTTATATTTGCATTTTCTATACACGATAACATTTTCAAAATATTTTGATTTATTTTGAACTGTTTAGGGACATTTTCATTTTTCATTTTTTTTTAGTTTTTTTTCTAGAAATATCAATAAAATTTAATTTGTTGGTTGCGAAAGCTTGAAAATTTAATAGAAGGCTCCTAATATGTTGTTTCAAAGGCAGATGAAAAATATTAAAAATCCTTAGTCACAATTTTTTTTTATAAGCATTTAAAGTTCAAAAATTTACAAAATATGGAAAAATCACGAAAATTAGCAAATTATTTTGAGTTAAGAATTCGTAAAAATTTTTCTTTTTAAATCTAAGATTTGAAAATGAAACACAAGATTCCTTATAAGATTATCTACCTTTATCAATAAAAAAATCTCTACCGGACAGTCAAGTTAAATTTTTATGAGCGTTTGAAATTCAAATTTTACAACATTGGATATTCACTCGATTACTCATGTAGCGATTTCCTTATTTTGTTGCAATTCAAAGACGAACAACTGTAGATACATGAAAATTTCACCGAATGTTTAAATTAGCATTTTCTATACACCATACAATTTTGAAAATATTTTGACTCTTTTTGAGCTGTTTATGGACATTTACAGCTTTCAATTTTTTTAGTTTTTTTTTCTATAAATATCAATAAAGTTTAATCTGTTGGGCCAAAAAGTGTAAAAATGTAATACAAGGCTCCTGATATATTGTTACAATAGCAGTTGAAAAATATTAAAAATACATAGGCACAGTTTTTTTTTATAAGCATTTAAAGATCAAATTTTGACAAAATTTATCAAAATCTCGAAAATTATCAATCATTGTAATTAATAAATTATAAAATGTTCAGTTTTTATAGCTAAGGATTGCAAATTCAACACAAAGGTTCTCGTAAATAGTTCATACTGTAACCAAAAAATCTAAAAAATATATGAACACACTTATTTTTTACAGACATTTTAAATTCAAATTTGGACGAAATTACATATTAAAAAACCTAGAATAACTATTTTAGTTATTTTGTTGTGATTGAATAATATTATTCGTGGGTACTTGAAACTTCTAAAGTGTACTATTATATATCTATGATAGTATCATGGTTTTTGTTGATGTATAACGTGTTATAAGTATCTAATGGATATTGTGATATGATTAATTTGGAATTTATTATAGGTACCTATTATAGGTCAATTTTTTGTTTAATACCATAGATATGTATATAATATGTCTTATACATAGACTGACATACCGTCACCGCTCAGAATCGTTTTTCTTATGCAATGATATTATATCATTGAATTCAAATTTAATACCATCCATTATACAGTGACCCACTTGTAACCTACTGTACAGCAGAGCGACACCCACTTGCCCACCTTTTTTTTTTTTTATGTTATCTGCTTAATATAAGTATTTCAAACTAAAAAAATTGAAATCACATAAATGTTTTGAAAAAGCTGCTTGGTAAGTTGAACGA